CAAACAAGTCTATTAAAATTTCCAAAATATGGAATCATACCAAGATTTTCTCTGTCCATTGATGGAATAAAATTAGAAATCAATAATTAAGGAATACTGAAATTATATAAATACACTAAAATGAATAAAACACATATTCCACAATGACCAGTGTGGTCATAATAGACTTGAGAAGGAATTTTAAATATTCTCAAAACAAAACTGATAACACTCATATCAGACTAATGGAAACAGTAAAAGCAGTAATAGCAAGAAAACTTTATACGCAATAAGTGCAATACATAAAAAAAGTGAATAAATCAAACTAATACAGATGTGTATTGAATAAAAATGCAATTACAATATTTGCCGTTAAATGGTATCTCACAAACCTAGAAGCAAAATCAAACCAAACACATCAGTAAAGAAAAAGAAAGAGCAGGAGCAGAAATAAATGAAATTGAAGCACAAAATACAAAGAATCAATAATTAAAATGATATTTTAGAAAAAATAAACAAAATTTACATACTTGTAGCGCAGAGGGAATTGAGAAGAAAGAGAGAACAGCCCAATCCAAATAATAAATCTCAAAAGAATTGAGCCATTGACACCCGATTACTGCGGAATCCTAATGTCATTAGAGAACATTACGAGCATATATACGACAATATGGAGAAAATTAGAAGGAGCCATGGATAAATTCCGGTAGACAAATGCACCCCGCACCAAGAGCGGAACAAGGGAAGAAAATCTAAAACCTGCGGAGAGACGGGAGCGTGTGAGGACCACCGAGCACCCCTGGAGGCCAGCGGCAAGGGTAGGTGGATTTTGCTGTTTTCCCCTCTCTGCATTTGGATGCTGGTGGGCTCCCCAGAAGGTGGAGAGGGACTGGCGACAGAGGTAGCCCAGAGATGGCGCCGCCGGCCGGTGGGTCGCAGCGTGTAGCGATGTGCACCAGTTCCCAAGTGCCCGGCACCTCCGTGTGACAGGAGCGGACATGGGCAGGGGGGGGGCGTTGCTGTGAGCTGCTGACGCCCGGCACTCACTCAGCCTAGGCAAGAAAGCGAGACTCTGTCTCAAAAAAAAAAAAAAAAAAAGTTAATCAGGAAAAATCTTGTGGGAGATCCAGGTTTCATACATTTTAAAGTGCCTGGCCACCTTCTGTAGGTGCTAAAGAGAATGTGACATTTAGTATTATCGTAGTGATTTGCGCGCTTCTACTTCCACACAATCGCGGAACCTAACCCAGGCGATACTGGATTTCATTGGTACTGAGGACAGAACTTTAAGAACCATGGTCCCAAATGATGTGTAGCACGTTAAATTAGAGCGCAAGACGAGTGGATGACCATGGCACGCCTAAAAAGAAAGCTTGATATGAAGTCCGTAAGGAGAATTTGTGTTCCCAGGAGAACGTGCCGACTCAGATGGTGTGGAGGGATAGCATTTGGCGACCCGCTCTGTAGGGTACGTTAGTGTCGCAAGAAAAATATTCAAGGACCAGAGAGTCGGTGCGTCGTGCGGTCTGGCCGATACAGTTTGAACTCTGTGTAATCGCGACCTACGCGACTGTTGTGAGCCTGCAGACCAGATCGCCCTGCACCTAGGCCGGAAGCAGTGCCCGCGATCGGTACCAAGGGTCAGAGAGATATACGTTCCGAACCAGCGTGAACCTGGCGAAGGACCTATGTACTCTACCGGTAAGATATGTAGATAGACTTTCTAACAGCGGTGATTCCAGGCTAACAAATCTAGAGGCAACCTCCTGCCAGAGTGAGCCGTGCACCCATACCATGTGATGGCAAACTGTCTCATGCGAGCGAGCGATAAGTATCGGCCACTGCCAGTCGCCTTAGTCCCAGCCTATCAGATTCGGAGGCCTGGTGAGGCTGTTGTCTGCCTGCTGGCGAGTAGGAACCATACAAGAGTGCGAGCGAGATGAGTGTTGGTTGAGCACGGCGGCTAGAGCGCCAGCACGGCACTCACTCTAGCTGGCAACACCAACTCCAGTGAACTCTCGGTGTCTGATCTCAAAAAGACAAAAGAAAACCAACCACCCACCCGGAGGACCTCATTTGTGCGCTGTGTGAGCCACGGCTGATTCCATTCCCAGTCAGCTTCGCCTTGGCAGAGCTTTCCCTGAAGCAGCGAGAAGCGCGGAGATTTTGAGCCCGGATTGCCTCAACTGTCGAGGATTCACAGAAAACACGCCTGGAGCGGAGCGCGAGAGCCCGTCTTACCTCAACTAATACACACATTAGAGCGCACAGAACATTGAAGTCTTGGATACAGGCACACAACTAACAATCAAGCAAGTACTATGTTCACATCAAGACCGCAAGACACCCATATGGTAGGCGAGACGGCATGTCCCTGCACATGTACCTTTTCGCTCCACCGCACTCACTCGCGGAAGGCTTTAATACGCAGGGTAATGAGCATCCTCATATAAGTCTCAGGACGTGTTAGCAGCCATTGCCTATGATAGCACCACTCTGCATGACGCTAACGCACTCAGCGCTGTTGAGGCACTGGTAACCACACACAAAGTAGAGAACTCACTTCTACCGAAAAACAAAAAAACAAAAAAAAAGCCAACTAGAACAGAGCAGGAAGCAGAAGACTACATACGCGTAGGCATCAGACATCCAGAAATATGATATGAATTCAGAACGCGTCAATACGAGAGGCTCCCCAAGGGAGCAGCGAGCCCGTTCGAGACCAGCCTGAGCAAAGAGCCGGAGAGCACACATCTACATCCAAATACATAGCATATCACACAAATGATAGAACTGATCCAACATAAGAAGGAATTATCGTACACTAGAAAAAGAATTAGCTGATGGCATGGTGGTACATGTCTGTAGTCCCGTTACTTGGAAGGCTGAGACAGGAGATTGACTTTGAGCCCAGGAGTTTGAGGTTGCTGTGAGCTAGGCTAACGCCATGGCACTCTAGCCTGGGCAACCGAGTGAGACACTGTCTTGAAGAAGGAAAAAAAAAACACCAAAGAAGATGGAGAATTTGTGTGGGGATATTGTCTTTTTTTTTTTTTTTTGGAGACAGAGTTTCACTCTGCCCGGGCTAGAGTGCTGTGGTGACAGCCTAGCTCACAGCAATCTCAAACTCCTGGGCTCAAGCAATCCAACTATCTCAGCCTCCCGAGTAGCTGGAACTACAGGCATGTGCCACCATGCCTGGCTAATTTTTTCTATATATATTAGTTGGCCAATTAATTTCTTTCTATTTATAGTAGAGACGGTCTTGCTCTTGCTGGTTTTGAACTCCTGACCTTGAGCAATCCGCCCACCTTGGCCTCCCAGAGTGCTAGGATTATAGGCATGAGCCACTGGCCGGCGTAATCTTAAAGATCATAAAATCCAAAGAAGGCGCGCGGCGCGGTGGCTCACGCCTTTTAATCCTAGCACTCTGGGAGGCTGGTGGGCGATTGTTTGGAGGTCAGGAGTCGTAAACCAGCCTGATCAAGAGCGAGACCCCGTCTCTACTATAAAATAGAAAGAAATTAATTGGCCAACTAATATATATGAGAAAAAATTAGCCGCATGGTGGCGCATGCCTGTAGTCCCAGCTACTCCGGGAGGCTGAGGCAGGATTGCTTGAGCCCAGGAGTTTGAGGTTGCTGTGAGCTAGGGTGAGCCAGGCACTCACTCTAGGCCTGGCAACAATCGAGACTCTGTCTCAAAAAAAAAAAAAAAAAATCCAAAGAAGGGCCAAAGTCAATGGCTCACACCTATAATCCGAGCCCTCTGGAAGGCTGAGGCAGGAGGATTGCTCATGGTCAGGAGTTGGAGAACAAAGCAGTAAATAATACAGATAGATAATTTGCTATTGGTTGAATAAGAGGGGAGAAGTGAAGTCTGCAATTGGAGGTATTTACTGTTAGTGCAAATGGAAAGATAGAACAGTGGGGTGCTTACAGGATTTTTTGATGGGTTTTATCACAACGGGTGAGCTTTTATCACCATGGGTGAGCTTAAGTATACTTCTGGGCTTAGTTTGGGGAAAGCACCCATGGAGAGGGAGGATGGGAAGAAGAATCCCTTGACAGTCTCTCCATGCCAAGCATGTTGAATAGAAGTGAGGTCACTTTGGATAACCCTTTTTTTGAGACAAAGTCTTGCTTTGTTGCCCAGGCTAGAGTGAGTGCCATGGCATCAGCCTAGCTCACAGCAACCTCAATCTCCTGGGCTCAAGCAATCCTTACAGGCATGAGCCACCATGCCCGGCTATATATATTAGTTTTTCCCATGTATATTAGTTGGCTAATTAATTTCTTTCTATTTATAGTAGAGACAGGGGTCTCACTCTTACTCAGGCTGGTTTCGAACTCCTGACCTTAAGCAATCCACCTGCCTTGGTCTCCCAGATGGATAATCTTTTAATGACATACTTAAGCCTCTGGGTAAATGATGAAAAGATCTACTTTTTTTTTTTTTTTTTTTTTGAGACAGAGTCTCGCTTTGTTGTCCAGGCTAGAGTGAGTGCCGTGGCGTCAGCCTAGCTCACAGCAACCTCAAACTCCTGGGCTCGAGCGATCCTCCTGCCTCAGCCTCCCGAGTAGCTGGGACTACAGGCATGCGCCACCATGCCCGGCTAATTTTTTATATATATATCAGTTGGCCAATTAATTTCTTTCTATTTATAGTAGAGACGGGGTCTCGCTCTTGCTCAGGCTGGTTTTGAACTCCTGACCTTGAGCAATCCGCCCGCCTCAGCCTCCCAAGAGCTAGGATTACAGGCGTGAGCCACCGCGCCCGGCGAAAAGATCCACTTTGGGGGATGGTCCTGCACAGGTCAGGAATATTTTACAGAGACGTGATAACTTGGTTGATGTTCATTCCTTAATAACATGGTCAAAGGCTTCCCATGCACGATTCTCATTTTAAGGGCAATTCTATTAGTTTTCCAGCAGGGGGTGTCATGGCTATTTTCAAGGATGGAACTTGATATTTCTTGATTCCTGTCTTGTTAAAAACAAAACATTTTATTTCTCTTATAGGAACAAGGTGTTAATAAAAAGCCTTCAGTGGGAATAGAATACCATGAAAAAGGACTCATCTTTAATTGTAAATAAACAGAAAAGTTTGACTGTTGATTCCATAGTGCCACTAACAGCGGAACTCTGGTCAACTTCATACCTGCTCACAGGCCATGCGGACTGGTGTTTTAAAGCAAAGACAGACTGTTACTTCTCCTTCATTTACAAAACATTTTTCAAAGTTCTCTTAATAACCTGGGACTTCTAGCTTGACTAAAGGCTAAAAACACAAGGCACTTTGTTAATATTGTATATACTTACAATTGTTTTGTTTATTTTGTGCCTAAAATGTTTAAGCTTGGGATGGGGGCAAAGAAAATATATGTAACCTTAACATTTGTACCACCCTCCCCCATAATATGCTGTAAAAAATAAAAGGAAAAAATGTTTAAGCTTCCTAGTCATAATACATAATAAATGTTGAATATATGAATATAAAAAAATTCATCTGTTTTGTTTAGGGGACCATATTTATTGCATGCAAATTTTTGTTAAAGTTCTTAAAGGATTACAACAAAAAGCAAGACTTTCTCTTGCATGATTCATTTGTTTTTATTTATTTATTTATTTTTATTTTTTTTTCATTTGTTTTTAAAACCACTTTATTGAAGTATGATTAACACAAAGCTTTTTTTGTAGAAATAAGCAAAAAAAAGTTGCATATATTTAATGTATCTGAGTTTGATTAGTTTTTAATTTGTGTACTTTCTAATTTATAATGCCAGTTTTGGAAAAGATCTGCTGTTTTTCACTTAATGTTTTAATGGCAATTTTCAATACTGTTTTATTAGTAAGAGCAGGGACTTTGTTACCCTCCAGTGAAGCTATCAAAAGTAACACACTGGAAGGAATGATGGAGTTTGTAAATTTATAACCATCATGGTGTTGATTCATAGGTTTAGTTTGGGGAAGCAGAATATTTTTACAGTTTCACATTGTTGTTCCCCCCAACCCACATTGGTTGTTAGTAGTCAGAAATTTTTTTTTTTTTTTTTTTTGACACAGTCTTACTCTGTTGCCCTGGCTACTAGAGTGAGTGCCATGGCGTCAGCCTAGCTCACAGCAACCTTAATCTCCTGGGCTCAAGCAATCCTCCTGCCTCAGCCTCCCAAATAGCTGGGACTACAGGCATGTGCCATCTTGCCTGGCTAATATTTTTTTATATATATTTTTAGTTGTCCAGATTATTTTCTATTTTTTTTTTTTTAGTAGAGACAGGGTCTCGCTCATGCTGGTCTTGAATTCCTGAGCTCAAACGACCCTCCCTCCTCTGCCTCCCAGAATGTTAGGATTACAGGCCACCACGCCTGGCTAGATCATTACTTTTTGTTGTGGCCCTGGAATACCTAGATTGGAGGAATGGCATCAGGGAGGTAAATCATTCCAAAGGTGTTATTTTTCTCTTCTGAGTCCATTACCTAAGGGAAGATTTCCCCAGAAAAAATATTGAACTGACATCAGACTGGAGAGTGTGTAAGAATTATAGAAAAAACAAGGACATTCCAGGTGTTGGAAAGGGCCTGTGAAGATCCTGTGGTGGGTAACAGAAAACCTGAAAGGCCAGTGTGCCGGAAGTCAGGCAGGCACTGGGGATGTAGATATCACATGGGACCGGGAGGAATGGAGGCCCAGACAATGCAGAGCTTTTGCTTTGACTTATCTTTAAAACCACAAGGGAGCCATTAGGGATATGAGGGGCTGGGCTGAAGGTCAAATTTGTATTTAAAAAAACACCACTTGCCTCCAGTGTGGACAAAGGAGCAGGGGGCAGGCGGTGGTATTCCATGAGACCAGTGAAGACCTGTTTATTTTTAGCAAGAGATGTTGGACTCTGGCGGGTGGTCAAAATGTAGCTAAGCTTGACAAGAATCGGTAATGGACTGGATATTGGGGGTGGGATAATTAAGAAAATAAGTGATTTTCAAAGTGGTATCTATCGAATTACCATTTTCTTCATTTTTGTATTCTTCCATGTTCTCTTATTTTAAAAACCACCTGCAAGGCCGGGCACGGTGGCTCACACCAGTAATCCTAGCACTCTGGGAGGCCGAGGTGGGCAGACAGCTCAAGGTCAGGAGTTCAAAACCAGCCTGAGCAAGAGCGAGACCCCGTCTCTACTAAAAAAAATAGAAATTAATTGGCCAACTAAAAATATATATTAAAAAATTAGCCGGGCATGGTAGCACATGCCTGTAGTCCCAGCTATTTGGGAGGCTGAGGCAGAAGGATTGCTTGAGCCCAGGAGTTTGAGTTTGCCGTGAACTAGGCTGACGCCACGGCACTCTAGCCAGGGCAACAGTGAGACTCTGTCTCAAAAAAAAAAAAAGACCATCTGCAAAGAAAGATAAGCAACAGGAGGACAATCTATGTAACTAAAGTAAATAAAATACTCCTCATTGAACCCTTTGCTTGTTTTCCTATTGTTTACCCCTTGAAAGATAGGTAGTATTAGAAACTGACTGTGGTTTTTATTTTGTCTACAAACCAGCACAGAACTGCATTAGCCCAGGAATGTCAGAATGTAAATTACTGGGCTTCAGGACCTGAATCACAGACTCTGAGAGTGGGGTCCAGATACGTGTTTTCACTAGTCCTGCTGGTGATTCTGATACATAGTAGAGAGTAAGAACCACTAATCTTTTTTTTTTTTGAGACAGAGTCTCACTCTTGCCCAGGCTAGAGTGAGTGCCATGGTGTCAGCCTAGCTCACAGCAACCTCAAACTCCTGGGCTCAAGCAATCCTTCTGCCTCAGCCTTCCAAGTAGCTGGGACTACAGGTATGCGCCACCACACCCGGCTAATTTTTTCTATATATTTTAGTTGGCCAATTAATTTCTTTCTATTTATAGTAGAGACGGGGTCTCGCTCTTGCTCAGGCTGGTTTCGAACTCCTGACCTCAAGCAATCCACTCCCCCTGGCCTCCCAGATTGCTAGGATTACAGGCGTGAGCCACTGCGCCCTGCCAGGAACCACTGAAATCTTGGTGATAAGAAATCCGAACAGAGGTTTCCCGAGGGCAGGAGTGGTGGGAATTGACTGGGAGGGTCACAAAGGAACTTTTAAATGGGAATGAAACATTTTTCAAATTTCATCACAGTGTACACTCATGATCTGTGTACTTCACTGTGTACGTTTTACCATGAAGAGTTAGAAAAGAGTATAGTTTGGAAGTGAAAGAGGAAATGGTATCTGTCACATGACTCCACTCCCAGGATTTCTGTGTAGAGACCTCAGAGCTAAAGATTGAAAAAGTCCTGTTTAGGTCGGGCGCGGTGGCTCACGCCTGTAATCCTAGCAATCTGGGAGGCCGAGGCGGGCGGATTGCTCAAGGTTGGAAGTTCGAAACCAGCGTGAGCGAGACCCTGTCTCTACCAAAAATAGAAAGAAATTAATTGACCAACTAAAATATATATATACAAAAATTAGCCGGGCATGGTGGTGCATGCCTATAGACCCAGCTACTTGGGAGGCTGAGGCAGTAGGATCCCTGAGCCCAGGAGTTTGAGGTTGCTGTGAGCTAGGCTGACGCCATGGCACTCACTCTAGCCTGGACAACAAAGTGAGACTCTGTCTCAAAAAAAAAAAAAAAAGTCCTGTTATCTTCAGGATAGATGACAAAGGGGTGGGACTCCCAAACGTTGGTGGATTCCTAGCATTGAAGAGAGTTATAAGAGGTTCAAAGAGACTGGACAAGAATTCCACAGCATTCCGGAGCTCATGCAGCTCTAACTAGAAAACAAGAGGCCAGAACCTTCTACATTTTGCTTGTCCTTCAAAATCCAGCTTCAATCTCACTTTGATAGGCCAGGCGTGGTACTTCAGGCCTGTAATCCTAGCACTCTGGGAGGGCCAGATAAGGCAAGGCAGGAGGATCCCTTGAGGCCAGGAGTTCGAGACCAGCTTGAGCAAGCTCCCCACCCCACCACCCAAAGTAGAAAAAATGAGCCAGGGGTTTCCAGCTCCTTAGGAGGCTCAGGTGGGAGGATGCTTGAGCCCAGGAGTTTGAGGTTGCTGTGAGCTAGGCTGACGCCACGGCACTCTAGCCCAGGCAACAGACCCTGACTCTGTCTCAAAAAAGATTTTTTTAAATTTCATTTTGAGGCCTGGCTCACGCCTATAATCCTGGCATTCTGGGAGGCCGACGTGGGAGGATCGCTCGAGGTCTGAAGTTTGAAACCAGCCTGAGCAAGAGCGAGACCATCTCTACTAAAAATAGAAACAAATTAATTGGATAACTAAAAAACATATAAAAAGTTAGCTGGGCATGGTGGCGCATCCCTGTAGCCCCAGCTACTCGGGAGGCTGAGGCAGAAGGATTGCTTGAGTCTGAGGTTGCTGTGAGCTAGGCTGATGCCACAGCACTCTAGCCTGGGCAACAGAGTGAGACTCTGTCTAAAAAAAAATAAAAAGAAAAAAGAAAATCTCACTTTGATATTTTCCAACTTTTGGCCGGGCGCAGTGGCTCATGCCTATAATCTGAGCACTTGGGGAGCCTGGGGTAGGAGGATTACCTGAGGCCAGGAGTTCAAGGCCAGCCTGGGAAACATAATGAGATTCTGTTTCAATAAAATAAAATATAAAACACTTGGTATGATTACTATTTTAATTTTAGCTATTCTAATCCATATACAGTGGTCTTTTATTGTAATAATTTGCCCTCCACATATCGTCTTGGTAGACTGTGTAAATAGTTTGCCCATTTTTTATTGGGGTATTTTTTATTATTATTATTGACTTTTGGGATTTCTTTATATACTTACATAAAAATTTATTATCAGGCCAGGCGTGGTGGCTCACACCTCTAATCTTAGCACTTTGGGAGGCTGAGACGAGAGGATTGCTTGAGCTCAGGAGTTCGAGACCAGCCTGAGCAAGAGCAAGACCCTGCCTCTACTATAAATAGAAAGAAATTAACCAAACAACTAAAAATAGAAAAAATTAGCTGGTGTGGTGATGGGTGGTACCTGTAGTCCCAGCTACTTGGGAGGCTGGGGCAGGAGGATTGCTTGAGC